CCAAATTTGTGTCGATCGGCCATTCCAAATTGAAGATATGACCTCACTTCCTGTTAGTAGCGTTTTTTTGCAAACATTTGTTAGCCTATAATTTTCATCGGATGAAAATTTCCTATGCAAACTTTCATCAGAAAGGTCCAGAGATTATCCGTGCCAAGTTTGGTGTCGATCGGACTTGTGGCTTCGGAGGAGTTAATTCGTTTCAGTTTTCGCGTTGTAGCAAAAAAAAAAAGTCTAGGCGGAAGATTCAGCTTGATCCCCCAAACGCCTGGATGTAAGGTTTTTGATATGCGTCTTCCTATGCGTGACTTACAGCGATTTGAAAGTGCAAAACTTTGGACCTTGCTTGTAGGGCCTCTAGAGGTAGAAGTGAGCGAATTCTTTCGCATGGTGTCCTCTCATGGACCTGAAGCTACCCCGTGAGTTTCGCGTCAGTAGCACTTACCGTCTAGGCTGCAGTATTGGAATTAGGTGAAAAAATGTACGGAAAATAAGAACAATTACAATAGGGTTTCCGCTGGTACTGGGGGTTCCCAGCCCACTCGGGCTAATAATAAAAACTACGCTAATAGCGATAAAATAATTGTCAGCGTTAATTAATAAATGCATTAATGCGATAACACATTAAGTTAGAAAACGCCACAGTTCTGCAGCACACGGTACAGAACTACAGAGCAACTATGAAAAATGAATATAAAAAACATTTCTTTATAATAAGGAACATTATGCAAATTCACTACATTTACTGAAAATACAAATTGCTGTGTACCACCTAAGTCTAATATGTACATCACATTATATTGATAACTGTTCAGTGACTCAATGTTGGGCTGCCCTTTCTCCACCTAGAGATAGCTGGGAATTGTGGGTTTGTGTTTTGACCCTTTGGATTTGCTGTAGCTAGCCAGTTCACAGCTTTTTTATTTCGCACTAGTGACGGCAAGTTCGACTCTTTTGACAGACTCGAATCTTCAAATCTCGTTCATTTAAAAGAACTAATTTTTTGAGTCATTTTGTTCATTTGAACTTGGCTGATTATCGTAGCGCTGCAGCCCTCTAGTGGGCAATTAAAAAAACAGCGCCGTTCTCAAACATGGAAGGCTGCCTGGCTTGATTTAATTGACAAAGTATAATGCACAAATTCACCTCTTGATTACTCTATCATCATTATATACACCCCCTTGGGCCTACAACCAAATTCAAACCATGTAAAAAAAACCCCACAGAAATATGTTGTTTTTATGCAATCCACTACTCCGGCTAAAACCTTCCATTGTCACAATCTTTCCTGAGTATACAACCAGACCAGCCATATAAAGGCTTATGTATATAATTACTATCGTTATCTCTAAAGTGCTCATTTATACAGTAGCCTAACGTCCCTGTTCATGAGTAAAATATTGATATAAGATTTGCGTATATAAAAGTAATAAGCTTGATACACACATGTTTCATCGAATAAACACACTTATTAAAATTCAACCAATTTAATAATAATAATCTGGATCAAGCCACCAAGTTCTTAAAGAACTCCAGCACAGAGAGAGGAACAAAGAAATATTAACACATTATATAAATGCTGACGGTGAGTGTCCTGTTTATTTCTGTTTTTTGCTTGTGATTCTGTTTTCCCCTGGTTTTTTCCTGTAATCTGCCTGCCTCCCTGTGTCTCCTCCCCTGCGTGTGCTCTCTCTCTTCCTCCGCTCCTGAGCCCAGCCAACGACCCGCACCTGCACCTCGTCAGCCACCTCCTCTGCCTGCCACACCTACCGGCAATCAGCCTCATCCCTGCCTGCATATCAACCCCGGTTCTCCACGCCATCGTGGCGGCTATGTTGGTAAATAAAAAGTAAAAGTTACGTTGCGTTCTCTGGCGGACCCAGATAGCTGTTTACAGAGCTAACGTGAATGTTGCTATGTGGGTGTGTTTTAATGTCCGGGTCAGTTTGTTTTGGAGAGGAGACGACCTCGGAGGTAATTCGGCTCGCGGTAGAACCCTATCTATTACAAGATCCTTCACGCATGCGTGAAAATGAACGAATTACTCACTGAGACTACCCGTTCCTCCCGAGTCATACACACAATTAATAATAATCTTTGTTTGTAGAGCACTTTTCAAAAACAAGTTACAAAGTGCTTTAACAAGTGTAAAGACAATAATACCCAAGAGACAATAATACAAAAATACAAGATAAAAGCATGAAAACATTGAAAAGACTAATACACATTTAAGAAATATAAAATTAGTAAAATAAAATCGGGAAAGGCTATAAAAGTATGTTTTAAGAAGGGACTTAATGTCACGGTTTTGTGGTGAAGGCAGGGTTGAGCAGGTTGGAGGACCCAAACGCAGGACACGAAAGCTAGCAGGTGCAGTTCAGTGAAGGGTTTTAATATAACAAAAGGCGAGCACACTTACAAACAGAGTGGCTGATTGACTGAGTCCAAAAACAAAGGCTGGCCAACAGAAATCCAAAAGGGTGAAAACCAGAATCCAAAACTGAGCAGGGTAACCGGGAGAACACAGTGAGTAAGGCTGGAGACACAAGAACAAACTGCAACACTGGATGACAATAAACAATGACCCAACAAAGACAAGACAGAAACACCAGGTATATATACACACAGGGACTAACGAGCAGGGCGGGAGCAACACAGGTGAAAGACATGAGGCTAACGAGGCAGAGAGAGAGAGAGAGAGAGCAGGGGAAAACAGAGACAGACATGCAGAGGGATCACTGGGGTAACAGACATGACAAAGGTTACCGAACACTAGACGACAGACAAGACAGACCCCCAAAACCCAACAGACCAAAAAAACGCTAACTAAACACAAAAGGGCAAAACACGGCATGGCAGACAGGCAGAGTGTGACACTTAAAAGAGTTCTCTGACTCAGCCGACCTGATTTCCTCAGGCAGGCTGTTCCAGAGCCTCGGGGCCCTGACAGCAAACGCTCTGTCCCCTTTAGTTTTCAGTCGAGACTCTGGAACAGACAGCAGACCTCTGCCCGAGGATCTCAAGGTACGTGCTGGTGCGTATGGGACTAAAAGGTCAAAAATATAACAAGGCAAGAGGCCATGAAGAGCTTTAAAAGTGATCAATAGAATTTTAAAGTCAATACTAAAACATACTGGGAGCCAGTGTAATGAAGCTAAAATAGGGGTGATGTGGTCATATTTCTTTGTTCTGGTTAAAAGCCTGGCAGCTGAGTTCTGGACAGTCTGGAGTCGATCAGTAGATTTTTGGTTTAAACAGGTGAAAAGGCTGTTGCAATAATCCAGGCGTGATGAGATGAAGGCGTGTAAAATGGTCTCGGTGTCCTTAAAAGTTAACATAGATTTTGCTATATTTCTAAGTTGATAAAAACATGATTGAACAAGCTTTGTGGTGTGCTGCTTGAAATTTAAATTACTATCAAACCAAACACCAAGGTTCTTTGCCACAGGCTTAATGTGATTTACTAGGGAACCATCTGCTGGGACCTGATGACCAGGATTTCTGTTTTGTCTGAGTTCAGCTGGAGGAAATTATTTGACATCCATTTTTTAACTTCACAAAGGTAGTTGTTAAGTGAACTCAGCATTCCAGGCTCTGTGGATCTGACGGGATGTTAAGCATTTAAAGCAGTGTGTAGTTTAAGTTAAGATTGTATTATCACGATGCTAACATTTGTTAGCATATCAATGGAGATTCCCATTATGTTAGCGTTGAGCTAACTGTCAATGCATTTTTTTATTTTATTTAAATATCGAAATGATGGGATGAAATCGATACAGTATCATGGAAAATATATAGCGATATATTGATATATCGATTTATTGGCACAGCCCTACTAACTACTACTAAGAACAGGCCAATATTGAAAGCTTTAATGTGGGTTATAATACTTTTCCTGAATGGATTATTTAAAAAAAAAGAAGCCTTAGATTAGTCTCAACAACTCAACATGTAGCCTAAACAACTACACATTAATAAATATTTGCTGCTAGAACATGCAGAGAGAATAAGCGCATTCACATCTAGTTTGTTCTTTTACCAGCACACTTAAATTTTAAAGCTGCGAGAAACCATTTCTCAGCCACTACATGACTGTCTACAACTTTAAGATTTCACACCGTTGCACATTTGAAAGAGGAGCTAGATAACTTTGTTTGGCTGGAAGCTGTGTTAGATTGAGCTTGCGTTTATTTGCATGACTCTGGTCAGCTGATTGCTTTGTTTTGATGTGGATTTGTGGCTGTTGCAACACTCATGACATCACTGAAAGATCTATCTCTCCATTTCTTCATCATTAATCAGCTGTTATAAATGCAGATACCAATTTAAATGCAATTAGCTCATATTGGCCTATAAATCGGCCCTATATAAACTACAGGTGCTTCCAACAAATAATACCTAATAATTCAAAACCTTGATTGTGCGCATGTGTTTGTGTATTTCTTTATGTAGTTGTTACCATCTTGCTTATGCTCCTGATGTAATCCTGGGATGTGCATACACTACATTGTGGCTATCTTAGCCTTACCTATCTTTTTACCATCATAGTAACCCACCCTTCTCCCAGAAAACCTATGTTCCAGATAGCAACACATCCAAAAAACACCATTGTTGCCAGAAACTTTCGTCTTTTCAAATTGCTTTAATTGAATCGAAAAGTTAAGGATGTGTACTGTAAAGCTTTAAAAAAAAACAGCCTTCTCAGGGAAACTGCTGCATCATAGCTCAAGCAAGTGTTTAGAGATAATCTTTTGGTCAGGCTACAGACAAGAGGGCTTCACAGGGCCAAAGACAAATAGAGAGGGGAATAGTAGATCTGTTCATTCGGCAGAGATTCATTGCTGCTGCCATGCCATAATTATCTACACTCTGGGGCTTGTCGGGCAACCATCCTGCAAAGCACTCATTATACAATACACCTTATATTGTGGATGCTCTATGTCTCTGTCGTTTTCCCTCTGACCCCTTCCTGCTCTCTCCTCTTTCACTCTTCCTTCCCCTCTTTCTCCCAGTCTCCCCGTCTCTGCAGGCTTGTGTGAGTGTCGGATGTGGTGTTATGTCTTTCCTCATGGGCTTGAGCTGCTTAATTGAACAGCTCTACTTCCCAACATCATTTCTATCAAAGTGAAATGATGTGGGCCTAGCAGGATATCTTCAAAAAAACGACAGATGTGTGATTGTTACCGACAGCTACAGTACTGCACATCTCAGGTGAGGTGTCTGTTTCTATATCAACCTCAGTGTTATTGTAAATTTGTTCTCTTTTTTTGAGAATCACTGTGAAACAAGTAAAGCCTTTCTTTCCTCAGATTTCAATGAACGAAATTGTTAAAAGTTCAAGATACTCGACTACCTGTGCAACCTGAATGGGCTACAGGTACTGCCTCATGCTACCAGTAGCGACAAGGACACTAGCAAAACACAAATCTAGAGAACAATCAGTCAGGAAGAAAAGGGAGAGAGCAATTGTCTGTGGCCACCACCTCAAAAACCATTCCACTTTTTGGGGGTTGTCTTGCTGTTGCCTCTGCAGTGCACCTGTTATCATTTTCATTTGCACTAAAACAGGTGAAATTGATTTAATCATTATGCTTCCCAACTAGACAGATTGATATCCTTGAAGTTTTGGTTACTTGATCTTATGCTGATAAAGTGTTTATACGCCATTTAGATTAAAGAGTAAAACAGGGAATGGGGTATGGTTGACACCTGATACTTGATCAAAATGTTAAACTGTTGACAATGATGTAAACCTGGAAGATTTTAAATTACACTGGACAGAAATGATAGAGTATGGTTTACTTCAAATTACAAAACAATAGGCCTCATGCAAGAACTACTTGTATGGACAGACCTGTTGTAGTGGTCATGTGCAATTATTGTTATCCAAACCTAAGTTTTTCACTAATGGGTTGTATATTTATTACTCTGAAGCAATCTTGAGTCTGAAAATCCTATATAAATTACACTTCATAATTACGTTGGCATTATCCGGGTTTCACTTATTGCTCTTCCATTTGCATTCTTACATAATTAAAAATGTATTTATATGTATTATGTATTTATTTATACTAATATCATCATAGCTGCTGATGCCTATGATTATACCTACTACTATCAATATCAACATCTGAAATTGAAAAACTACTTAAATTATGCACTAATTGAAGGTTCATTTATGACCAGATGATGTTCATTTTATGTAAGTTGACGTTAATGTGGTTACTTTCATGAATTAAAAAATTAGAAATGGTTTTACTTGAGACCATTACTATCAGGCATGGTCATCCTTAACTACTTCTGTGTATATATATATATATATATATATATATATATATTTTATTATATTATTTATATTCTTCAGCAGTCAGCTTGGCAGACAGGTCGGTTGTTGCCCTGGTAGCGCTAGTCGCAGCGCGGTCATAAAAAACGAGAGGCACGCAGAGATCAGCGCGGATTATACATGGGATGTATAATCCTTGCCTTAGGCCAGAGGTCACTAATTGGCGGACCGCGGTCCAGATCTGGAGGTTTTCTATTTTTAAATTCACAGCTTTTCTAGCATTTATGGCCCTCGTTCAGCGGCACAAGAAACTCACAGACCAATCGCATGTGCTCTAATCGTCTAATGTGATGCTGCTCAGCCAATCAAATCTGTGCATTGTTAAGCATTGCCAGAGCCATTAAAAGCCCTGAGCATTGCGAGTCGAGTCCACGAGTGAGATCCACAGAAGAAGAGAGGAGACGAAAGAGACGTCGCACGGCTTTTAACCAAGAATGTACAGATTCTCACATGTACATTCTTCCCACAGGCAGTTCAAAACCGGAATATCTCACATCTCCTCATATAATCCTAGCTACAGCTCACATTTCTAACTAAATAAGAGAAAGTAGGGAAGTGGTAGCTATATAAGAGGGAATGAAAGAGAAGAGGAGGCTTTACAGCTGTTCATTTGTTATGATGTGTTGAGTGTTTATTAAAAAATTGGTTGAGACTGAACTTCAGTCACTAAAAGCTACAGTGTTTATTTAATTTTTTCTGAAATTGTGTAACAAAATTTATTTTAAGATGCACATTTACTAAAACATTTTTTAAATGCAGCCTTTAGATTACTTAAATTTAGGATTTATTATTAGAGTGGTTATTACTTATTATCCCTGACATTTTATTGTTGAAATAGTATCTGATTTGACATTTGTCAGTTGTTGACTAAAAACATATGTTGATACAACTAGGCTATACGTTATGGTAACGCAAGTTGATGTTCCGGACATTTGCTTTGTGAAATTTTTTGAATTTTAATTGAAGACCCCTGTCTTAGGACTATTTTAGTGGGGTTGAAGCCCCCCCAAATAATAATAACAAAAATAATAATTATATTTAGATTTCTTTTTACAGTGCAGACATGTACTCAACAAAGAGAGCAAGAATTGTTATAAAATTTGTATTTATTGGCTTAAAATAATCCCTCTGGTTGTTTCTTCTGCTTCAAAATTTAAATCCCTGCTGTGGTCAGGGACTAGGGCCCTGAGGCAGGCTGCCTTTCATTGCTGCTTTCCAAGCTGCCAAGCAAGATACCACACACACACACACACACACACACACACACACAGAAGTGTGGTGACGGAAGATTGATTCAGCGTAGTGAGTGATACAAAGCTGCTGAACTTTAGCTACGTTTACTTGAGGTAAAGGAAAAGGGATATTTTAGTTGGCCATGGAAAACACTAGTTTAGTAAGTGTGAATGCCATTAATATTACGGATCTCTGTAGTATTTCAAAACAATATCAGTCCCCATAGAATGTTGTTGTCAGTGAAAACTAAATGGCATAGTGTCCCTGTTACTGCTAATGAACCTGGATATCCTTCAATTCATTGACTAGATATTCAAAGCTATTTTAGGAGAGTGAGAGAGGAGATTGGCAGGGCACCTGATTCTGAGTTCAGTAGTGGTCTACAGGTAAGGAAATGTGGCCTGTTTTGGCAATAGGTATTTGTTGGCAGTCTAAGCACCAAGGCATAGTCTAAACAAATTTACTTCATTATATTTATTACTTTTGCTACATTCTGACCAACGTAACTTTCTGCATTCATTGGCTGTAATAAATAAAATAAATATGTAGATGTGGCCTATATGTAGGATAGACTATACATGATCCTTAGCAACAGCTTACATGATAGTAGTAGTTATTGTATGCTTTCATGCAAGCCAAACCACAGAACAAAATCACACTGATTGAACCGAACCAGAAATTTGTGTAATTAAATAGCTATTCTTTGGACCTGCAACTTATCTAAGAGAGAGAGGAATTGGACATAGTATTACTTCACTGCAACCTCTGACATATATAGCAATCGTAAGTCGCTTTGGATAAAAGCGTCAGCTAAATGAATAAATAAATAAATATAAATAATGTGCCTAAAAGCTAACATTACAGTAACTTTTGTTCAACAGAGGAGAAACAGAAGAAGAGAATATGTCTGTTGCTTTTTACCTGTAAACATCTTGGCTTCTTCACTGCTTGTTAATATAAGTGTAGTTCTAATACAGCAACAAAAGATGTGAGTGCAAAGATTTTGGAAGTGAAAGTTAAGCGTACCCTGGGGGCTAAGCCCCCCCTGTCCCAATCCTAGTGACGTCCCTGCTGTCATGCCTATTAGCCATATCTTCACATGCAGGTTTATGCAAGTTGCTGTCCAGGGGAACATCTCTAGTTGCAATTTCTGTATAATCCCTTGTGCGACATTACTAGAATGCCATATTCTATGATGGAGACTTCCCCTTGACCCCATCCCTTTGCAGTCATCCATTGCCTTTCTGTGGCCACCACAGCACCATTTCTTTATTTCACTGACAGTACGACTCTCAGGTGACAACACATTAACAGCACCTGCAAGCAGCAAGGCAGTGTGCTTTCTCATTCCTTTTGCAACCACATATCTGTGTAAGAAAGGCTTCTCTTCATTTGTCGTTTTCAAGATGAAATACAGAAGCAAGGTGGGGGCTGTGCCTGAGAATGTAACTGATCTCAAATGACCCAGACATCGCAGGACTGTGTTCTCAGAGGCAGGTGGACCCTTCTCATTAGGCTTGTGTAAGTTGTCAATACTCACCAGCATGAAAAAATTCAAACAGGTGTGTGTTTAAATGTTATAGTTGTTATTCTTAATGTTCTCAGTTACTGTGTGTGTTTGCATGTGTATGTGAGAAGCTGCTTGTGGTGTATGACAGTTGTGTGGATAGGGTAGGCTCACACTACTGTACTTAAAATAAAATAATCGTGGTACTTGTAGAGGCTCATATTTTCTAAGGTGGCAATCACTGTATTGCTTTAAAGGGTACCAAAATATGCATTTTAAAAACATGAAATAGTACAAAAGATGAAGTAGAGTGAGCGTTTGCTTTCAAAATGGATCAGTATTTATACTAAGTAACACAAATGTATGATATTCAGCTTGTCACCACCCTGAGGAAAAAGTTAATTCAGTCTTAATTCTGGAGGTTGGCTGATTTGCTGGCCTACCTGCCTGTCTACTTAACTACCTACCTGCGTGCACTCTGCCAGTGGACTCATTACCCATGAAAAAGTGTTATTTGGGGAGTGGCTTTGGAGGAAGACCTGAAGGAAGAGGGTGGGATTTAATTGAATTTACAGCCCAAATATTGCTTGTGAGACATACTGTTAACGTAATATATAAAATTACACACACCATGATATACGCTTTTGAACATGTCACGCACCCGGTGAGTGTCCTGTTTTTTCCTCCTTTTCTCGCGTTCTGTTTTCCCCTGAGTTTTGCCTCTCTCTCTGTGTCTCCTCCCCTCTCCCTCTGTGTGTGCTCTCCCTCCCGCTCCTGAGCTCTGCTGACAATCCACACCTGCGTCTCATCAACCTCCACCTTTGCCCGCCACACCTGCCAGCAGTCAGCCTCATCTCTACGAGTATTTCAACCCCGGCTCACCACTCAGTCCCCACTTGAACGTCGTCGCTCCAGACTTCGTGCCACCACTATATTCAAGCTTTTGTCCTTGTTGATATCTTGCTTCTCCATCTCCTGCTTCCCTGAACTAACCCTGTCTGTTTATCTGTTTTACCCGCCAGGTCCACTCACCTCCGTCTCCCGTTCAGTCAGCTGGGCTCACCTACCTGCCTGCTCCCCTCACATCACCTCCACGGCACTCCCCCTCGCTCTTCGCCTGTTCGCCAGCCACCACATCCCTTCCCACCTCTGTCTCCTTTCCCCCTCGGCCCTCTCGCCTGAACCTCTCCAGCCCCTTCAGCCCCTCAACTCCCCTTCAGCCCCTCAACTCCCCTTATTCCCTTAATAAATCTCTTTAAAACCAGAAGCGTTGTGTTTCGGTCCGTTCTGGTGCTCTCTTTCCCCGTGAGTCTCCAGTTTCCCACCCAGATAAATTCTCCGGTGTTTTAGGCACGTGTGACGGCTTCCTGGTACAGTGCGCCCTGGTGTTTAAGAGGAAACCAGTAACCTTCCAGTCCGATGAGGCCAAAATTTGTTATGTCGCTGGGCTACTCTGGTACGCAGCTGTCAGTGAGGGTCAGCCCCACATCCTCTCTTCCTATTCCTCCTTCGTGTAGGGGATGCAGAGAGTCTTCGCTCGGGTGGTGCAGGGAAGGGATGTGCCTGGACGCCTCCTCCCTCCGCCAGCGCAATCGGAGCGTGGCAGAGTACTCAGTGGACTTCGTATTCTGGCGGCCAATTCGGGCTGGAACAATAATGCCGTCCGGTGAATGTTCCTGGATGGTCTCAACAACCGCATGACAGACCTGCTGGCCGTTAAGGACGAGGTAGCTACCGATCTGGACAACCGCTTGTGGGAGAGAGAGAGGGACTGCATCGCTCGCGGTTCCTCCAACTCCCGCTCAGGCCTCAAACCATCTCGGGTTACCGTCTCAAACCAACCCTTCCTCCTATCCGCTCGAGCCCCCGGTAATTCCGCTCAGCCTGACCCGCCTTCCATCCCTCCCGACTTATCCGGTGTCCTGACATGTACCACGACCTCGCCCTAGTTTTTAGTAAAGACCAAGCCCTGTCTCTACCCCCCCACCGCCCCTACGACTGCTCCATAGACCTTCTTCCGGACGCGCCCCTCCCTTCTACTCATCTGTACAACCGGTCATCTGTACAACCGGTCGCGTCCGGAGAGGGAATCTATGGAGCTGTACATCAAAGATTCCCTAGCTGACTGTATCATCCGTCCCTCTTCCTCTCCGTTAGGGGCCGGCTTCTTTTTCGTAGCCAAAAAAGACAAGACCTTTCGCCCTGCATCAATTACTGGGGGCTCAACGCCATCACCATTAAAAGTAAGTACCCCCTCCCGCTCATGGACTCAGTCTTTGAGTAACTCTCCCGGTCCACCATTTTTACCAAGATGGATTTAAGAAATGCTTACCATCTGGTGTGGATCTGGGAGGGGGATGAATGGAAGACCACTTTCAACACCCCCCTTGGACACTATGAGTATTTAGTTATGCCCTTTTGCCTCACCAACACTGTTTACCAAGCGTTAATCAATGACGTCCTCCGATACTTCCTCCACCGCTTGGTTTTCGTGTATCTCGATGACATCCTGATCTTCTCCCGCGACCCTGCCCAACACACTGAGCATGTCCGTCTGGTCCTGCAGCAGCTTCTGGAGAACAGGCTCTTCGTCAAAGCGGAGAAATGTGAGTTTCACACACCCACAGTCCAGTTCCTCGGTTTCATAATCGAGGGGGGGCGGCTCCGCGCTGACCTGTCGAAGATCTAGGCGGTCGCTGACTGGCCAACCCCCACCTCCGTTAAACAGTTACAACGCTTTCTTGGCTTTGCAAACTTCTACCGCTGGGTCATCCGCAACTACAGCACCATCGCCACCCCCCTCACCCGTCTCACCTCCACCTTGGTTCCCTTTGCCTGGTCTCCGGAGGCTGCTGCAGCCTTCTCCCGCCTCACGACCCAGTTCACCTCCGCCTCCGTCCTCACCAACCCCGACCCCTCCCTTCAGTTCGTGGTAGAGGTGGACGCCTCGAACGTGGGAGTTGGTGCCACTCTCTCCCAGCGCTCTCCGGAGGACGACAAACTCCACCACTGCGCCTTCTGCCAGAACACTCCTTCCTGGTACTGACTGACCACAAAAATCTCTCCTACATCTAGACCGCCAAGAGACTGAATTTCCGCCAAGCCCGGTGGGCTCTGTTCTTGTCAAAGTTTCAGATGATCCAATCCAGTAAAAACATTTAGTCCAAAACGCCACACATCAATATATCCCCAGGGACTGCTGCTGCATCGTTTCATATTGGCCGGCAAACGTGGCTAATATGTCATCATAACCGTATATATAATATATAGATTAATATAATAGATAGAGATATATATATATATATATAGATATAGATTTGGATGTAAACAAATGCAATATCTTGTATTCAAATTAGCTGCTGAACCTTTCGATTGACAGCTAATTTGACCCAATAGGAGCTCACATGTCCCTTTCACAGCCTACAACAGCCAATGAGAGCCAATGCTGTAAGGAAGAGCCAGCCCCTATTATTTTGTGGGTAGGCTGAGCTAATTGCAACCAATTGTGCCAATGACTGGCACTTCGTGTAGCCAATAAAATTCTGAAAATAACTACCAGCAAAATAACACATCTGCGTCAAACTACTGGCTAATACGGAGCGATGCAGCAGCAGCAACTTGCCGGCAAGGGGCGGTGCTGTTTTAGAAAAAAATATGCAATGTGCTTGTTGTGGATTGTTGGATATATGTTACAAGAAAGACGAAAAGAGATCACACGCAGTAGTTGTGTATATTGCCGTGTCTCACCTATAGAAATAACGTTAGCTGCCGGTATTGTGTAATGTTACTTCTACACACAGATAAACAAAGGTGCTCTGTTCGTTTCGTTCTTGCTGTTCGAGGGAGAACAGTTTTGTGGGCGTCATGAGTTGTAGTCTTTTTTTATGTAATTTGACTAAAAACTTTTCACTTCAACTAGGATTATTACAGTAATAACAGAAGCCTTGTGCCTTAAAATAATTATACCAACATTGGTAAAACGGGCTTACTGATACTTATTCCTCTGCCTTCTAGCCTACTTATCAGCCCTTTTTCTTTTAATTTTCATTAAATTCAGAACAGTAGTGGAATAGATTTACTTTTGAACAGCAACAGTGTTTACAAAAGCAGTCATCATCACAATATTACATAGACACACAAGCCACTCATTTACATTTAACACTTATACAGAGCAACTTAGAATAGCTATGGATGTCAGAGGTCGCACGCCTCTGGAGCAACTAGGACAACTAGGCAACTAGTTAAGTGTCTTGCTCAAGGACACAATGGTGTTTCACAGTGAATTCGAAACCTGGTCTCTCACACGAAAGGCATGTGGCCATCACCACCCCACACACAACACACACACCTCTGTCTATAGATTTGCCTGTCTTACTCTTACCCTTGCCATGGCCACCCTCATCCTTTCCCCAGTTAATGTTTCCTTCTCAGATTATTTCCCACACTTTTTTGAATCTGGTATCTTATTTTCTCTATCAGCAGCTCTTGGTGTGCAGCAGTCTCTAAGCATCTCCTCTTATTTTCTGGTAGCAGTCAGCCTTGGCAGCAGGTGCAGCCCTACAGCAGGTCAGTCATTGTGAGATGGTCCCAAGCACTAAACAATCTTTACACCTTGTCATGGTGACAATTGTTTTATCAGCTATTAAATATCCTATGTTTGAATATCTGTAGTCACAGATCACCTCCAGTAGTTTCAGCAGCAAGAACAGCAGCAGCATCCCCAGCAACCCTTCACCAGCAATTGTTATGTCAGCTCAGTATTTTAAAGCTAGAGCTGGGTATTCCCTGCGTCACAGCATTTGCTGATGTATCAATACAGAAGCATGTGTATACGCATTGTTACGGATATAAGGTTCTAACTGGAGCCATACACCACCAGGAAACAAGGATTGCCATTAATTGTCTCTTTATTTCTTCCAGAGCATGGTTTCAGTCTTTCCATGTCGTATCTTGTGACGATTGCCATGGTTCTAAATAACAAAGGATACAAGTTAACATATGTCCAGATAAGTAATGTATTCAGTCTTGAAATCATATTAGCGGTCCAAGGCTCCTATGCTAGCGGTGTTAACAAACACCTACACACCCCAGCACACAACAAAATCAGCTATAGGACCTAATGGCAGCTACAGTTAGCAGCAGAGCAGTGTAAGGAACTTCTGTGTTATAGGAGAAAAGGTCCATTTTGGTGACCGGTTGACTATTAGGGGCAAGCTTTGTACTGCAGTAGTAGTAGTGCAGGAAATAGGTACCTCCAATGAGCGTGACCCATATTACAGTATTTGAAGAAGACTAGTTCAGTGTTTGATTGGGAATAGAACACAGCTGCTGGAGAATGATATAAGATACTGATTCACTATGTTCCTTCCGTATTTAGGATTCAGATCACCAGCCAAAAAAGGAATCAGTTCTTTGCTCTGGAATGTTAGCTGTGAATGCTACCAGGGGCTGGCCGATGGATAGTTCCACTCACCCAGGGATCTGCACAATGACTTTTTTTGACATTGATGATTTGTTGACATGGGATGAGCTGATATTTGCTGTATGAGGATGCTTGCACCACCTGCGAGAGCTGAGACAGCGGAAGCAGCTTTAATTTGAAGTGCTATAGAAAACAGACCTGGCAGCGAAAAAAGAGCTGATAATGCGGCAGGGGCCGAAGCTTTTTTCTGGGACTGAAGTCATGCATGGATAGCTTGGATGGAATTAACCAAAGTGTGTCTGTGGGCAGGACAACAAGTGGAGAAGAACATATCTTCTCTTAGTCTGAGAAGACAATGTAACATTTGACATTTGCAACGAAATGACAGCAGACAGCAGCAGAGAGGAGTAGCGATTTGAAGTTTAATATGATTGGCTAATGGAGATCATGGCACAATGTGGTAGGTTTAACTGAAAGAGTAAATACCCACAGTCAGCTGAATAAGAGGAAGCAGAGAGAAAGAGAGGGGGAGAGAGAGAGAGAATGAAACATAAAGATGGTCTTCTTGACCGAACTTACGTTAAACGTTAGTAGTGTCCTCCAAGTCATTGCAGGCTTCTTTCTTGACCCAGAGGTCTTAAGGTCAAAGGAAGGTTAAGAAAAGTCCACTCTAGTTATCTGTGAAGGGAGGGAAAGTCCACTTATTCACATAACATAATTTCATCCCTATTAGATTTTTGTAATTGAGGCCTTTCTTAGGGACCGGTTTTGGTGTTCTTGCTGGCCACAAATTTACAGTAGATGTAGATGGTAAGATTTCATACCTCAATACACTGAGATTTAGA